CACACACACACACACACACAGCCTTTCACTCTGCAGTCAACCTCAAACTAAATCAGTATCATCATGTAGAATTTTTCATTTCAGCACATGACCATAAGTTGCACCAGTTACATTCATACACCCAAAACACAAATACCAGCGCGATAAACAAAATGCAAGTGCATGTGATAAAGTGGGGGCAAGTGGGTGAGAGTGTTCGGTGGTGGTGGTGGTGGTAAAGGGAAGGGGAGCACCCAGATGGTACTGACCGCTTTAGTGGAGGAAGCCAGGTTCTCCATCTCTTCATGAGTCACCCACACATTTCCGGAGGACTGCTCAGAGGACAAAAACACACACAAACACACACACACACACACACCAACCCCCACGCGCACACACAAAAGACAAACATTGTGTTGAATGATGCCAGGGGAGGGAGTGTATTTCGGGCAGGTAGCTTGTAGCTATATCCGGCACTATATGTGTGTTATTTTCCCACAGAACCCCATGCAATTTATGGCAGCAGAGAAGGACAAGTCAACACAGCAAAAGGCAGAAACCAGCCTCTACTGTGTTTTGAGCTGAGGAACAAAAAGAAATGAGGGAAAAAAAAGCAGTGATGGGTTACTCCAAGGTGCAGAGTGAGGGTTGAGCCAAATTGTGGAAGAGGTTGTTGGTGTAGTCAAGTTTTGTGTAAGGGACTGTGCGCTTTAATGTATTTGTTATTGGTGTATGTGCATCTATGTGGATGAAAACAGAAGGGAGTGAGTCCACAGTGGTATATATTGGGTGTAGGTTTTTTGTTTTACCGTTCTGGAGGTGAGCGGTGCAGAGGGGCTGGTGAGGGAGACCATCTCCTGAATGGCCAAGCGGAGTTTGAGTCTGTGCAGAGGGTTGCTGATGCCAATCTCCCTCTGAATTTCCGTGTCGGACAGAGCTGACATGATGGCTCCGCTCTTCACGTTGGCACGACAGGCCGCCACATACCAGGCCGGCATACCCACCCACAGCTGGTGAGGGTCATCAACACAATCAACGTCACTGCCATTGTCACCATAAAAGGCCACATAGAAGAGGAGGGGAGAGCAGATAACTGCTCCTATGGTCAGTCTGGTATTTAATATCATAAAAATTAATAACATAAATTTACATTTATGGCTGGTAGAAATAAAATCAGATAAGTGGAATACCTCAAGCCAGGAGACGACAGTAGGGCCGTCCCACTGGGCGAAAGGCAGACCTCTTTTCCTGGCATCTTCAAGAAGCTCGTGTCTGAAGAAACAATCCCAAACAAAGGCAGAGGGAAAAAAAATAAATACCAGAGATGGGTCAGTAAATATTGCAACTAAAGTTGAACTGAAATTGAATAGAAAAAGAGAGAAAAAGCTGCTTTTACTTTTTCTTCATTCTGCGGTCCCTCTCAGCCTGAGTGCCAAGTTTTCCCAGAGTCATAGTGTCGCCGATGCCCATCTCAAAGTCTGAAATACGGCAAGACAGTGTTAATATATACCTCTATAAATCACATGCAGTCTAGACAGTGTAAAAGTTTGATATGTGGTCGGCAGTGTACCTGTTAAGGCTGGTAGGGGCTGTCCATCCCTGCCCATTGTCTGCTCCAGTCGACCCTTCTCCTTCTTCCCAAACAATCTGCCGATAGACGACTTGATGCCTTTTTTCTGCTTGCTGCAAACAAAGAAAACAAGCAAGCAGGAACAAATGTTACACTAAAGCTACAGTCACTTATTCAACCTTGAGAGTAAATCAGACATGTCTTTGGTACTGAGGATAGGGGATATCTATGAGTGTGTGTAATTTGGTGTAGATCCAATTCAATTTTATTCAGTGAAATTAAATGTAGTTTTATTGAGGCACTGTTGGGCTGTAGTGGAGTGTGGGCTCTACTGAGTGTCAGTCCAGGTAATATAATTCATTTGAGTTGTTTTGTACCCATGCTGTATTGATTAAACAGCCATCAATCAGGGTCATCCTCATTGTTTTGGGATGTTTTATATTTATTCAGGTACATCAGACATTGTAACTCAGACTCTGAAGAGCTTTGCTTCTGTCAGCGACCATGGTGACTGCTGTTTCCTGTGGGTTTTTGTTTGAATCTCAGCTATAAGTATCTGTCTGTATAGTCTGTGTCGATGTATATTTTTTTTACCCTCGACCATCCTCCAGACTGCCTGTAAATTGGGCAAAATTGGTTTCCAGCCGCAAACTCCGGGGGGAAGAGGGAGGCGACGTCTCACACTTGATGGTGGCTTTGTCCACTTCAACTGGAGACTGGAAGAATCACAAAAGCAACTGGGTTACAAAAGCCACAGTCAGACAAAAAACAACCACAAAAAACCAGTACAATTTGACTTTTGAAAACTTACTGCTACTTTTCTGCGATGTTTCCTCAAGTCACTTGGCTATTAAAGAAACGACACACGTTATTAAAGTGGCCACACAATCGTTGTTTGTCAACCATTAACACCATCACACCACCAAGTAATTGCAGTTTGTGTGTGTTTATCAGATAGAAGGCGTGTCCTCTCTGACCAGAGTCATGATGCCTAGATGGTGGCTGGTGTTGCGTCCGTGGTGTTTCGGCGTGGAGTGGCCACTGGTGGGCGGTGAGGAGGAGGATGCCAGGGACTGGGCGGTGGCAGAGGTGGGCAGGGCCCTCGGTCGAAGCGTCACATTGAGTCCGTCCATGCTGCCGCTGTTTACGCGGGACTCGATCTCATCAGAGCGCAGGTCTGCGGACTCTCTCTCCACCTGGATCATCCTGCACAGACACGTACAAACATACACGTTCACACATTCTTGTTATCATAATTTTTTCTTTGTGGGGTTCAAAGGTTTTATCCAACAGGGACTTTTTATGTATGTACATTTTGTTCTATAAAAACTGCAATAGTATTATTATTGCAATAGTAAAAGATGTAAAAATACCACATTTACAAGTAATATTATCTAAAATCAGTGGAGTCTGGCTTCTCTGGAGCATAATTTTACATTTCTCCGCAGAGGACATAAGGAGCTTTTTTTCTGTAAACTGCAATAATTAGCGTCCTCTTCCAGTAGGAAACATGAAGAGTCTTATCTATATGCTATCAGCTCTATATCTAATGCCTCTATCTGTTCTGGGGCATCCTGTCTGGCCACAGGGCTCCATGCATCCCTTTAACTAGCAGCAGCACCTTTATTTTGCTGCAGTATCTCCAAGATGTTCCTGTTCTTGTAATTATTTCTTGCATTATCTTTAATATGTTGTTCCAGTCTTATCTGTATCCTGTTTCTTGCTGCTGCACTGACCCAGCTCCCCCCTCAGGGATCATGAAACTGTCATGTGCTGTAATCTAATATGCCTGTGATTTGTCACCTTATCTCTTCATTGATAGCATCAAGCTGCTCTTGCAGCATGAGAGCGAGAGTCTGAGCGTCTGATTGGCCGCTTGGGGAAAGCAGGGTAGAGCTAACATCGTCGTCCAGGTCCGACTCTGCCTCGATGTCACTGCCGAGGAGGTGGCTGACGCTGCCGCGCAGTGACGGGTAGTCCTGTTCAAACACAGCGCATACCTGAAGAGATAGACATGAGCTTTATTACAAACTAATCTGTAGAGATAGTCTACATGCACACATGTAAAAATACAATGTGACAGTTGTGGAGCTAGTGGTCAGCTAAGATAAGAAATGGATGAACAGGAAACTTACATCAGACAGCATGTCCATGGCAGCAGGTGAGAGAGACACAGAAAGACAGGGAGGTTAGTAAAGAATGGAGAGTTAGGTATGAAGATCATCAAACACTGGCCAGGCACTGACACTCATTAGCAAAGCAGACATGAACTTGGATGCAGCACTGGTAAGGAGCAAATGTGGTTAAACGACATATGATCTGTAAGTTGGCCATCCTACTTGTTTGGTATGTGCAAAAACTGCAGGGTTGTTCTGGTAAAGACATTATGAGCACCTTGTTTGGGTCGTCTCGCAGCGCTGACATTCTGCCCTTCTGTGCGCGCCTGATCACAGTTGTGCTGTAGTGGCCGTCCTGGCCCTCCACCACAGAGAAGCGCAGGTCACTGGAGCTACCCAGGTGAGACCTGGGATGATATACATAAAGGAGATGACAATCATATACACAGAGCAGATAATCATAATGAAGCAGCATGTTAGAGGGAGAGTATGAGAGAGCATGTGTGGAGGAGATGTAGGTCTGTGTGTACCGGGGGTGGGTTCCATCTCCAAAAACCCCACTGCGACGTTTCAAATGGTCGATCTCATTTCTCAACTTCTCAATCTCTCCAATCAGCCGTTCCTGGGAGACAGTTGGGAAAAGTGCTCAGTTTGTTAACTCAAGAAAAAGCAGCAATACCTTTACTATAGGACCACTCCATTACAAGTTAGAGTAAAAAGTCCATATAAACAGCCGATGTCTGGTTTTCAAAATGTAACTTAAATAGAAGTGCACAAGTATGATTTGTAATTGATTTGACTCCCCGAAAAACAAACCATAACTTATAACTTATAACATATAACTTATCATGACACTGGGCTTTTGTATGAAAACTTTTTGCACAAACAAATAAGTTAAATATATAATGTGTTAAGTGGTGGTATGAGGTGCTGGTACATGAATTTTCTTCTGATGAAGCCATGCTAACTGTTTGCCTTTGTGTCCAGGCTTTATGCTAAGCTAAGCTAACTGGCTGCCTGCAATAGCTTTTCTGAGGCAGACAGTGACACTGATCTTTTCATCTAACTCTTTGTTAAAGCAATTCAACTACTGCTTTAAGTATTAGCAATATTTCAATATTATAGCAAAATCATGTGGAACAAATTTCAGCAGCTCTTATGTATAGTTGTTAACAATACTTAATAACTTTTGTAAATATTTATAAACATAAAATGCTTGGGATTAAAATGTAGTGGAGGAGAGGAAGAGGCAAACAAATTCTCTCAGGAAACGTAATTCAAAACTGTATTTGTAAGTGCAGTATTTCATGACTTCCTTGACTCACACAGAGCTAAAAAACAATTCAACTAAAGTTGGGACTTAAAACATCTATACTTCACATACTGCAGGGGCTGTCTGCAACGGTGCAAGGGTTTCAGTCCATGTTGCACTTTCCTCAGTGCAAAAGTCCAACATGCAACATGTGTAATATAAACATCTGAAATTCAGAATACACTCCTCCTTTGCTTTGTTGTGACTTTTTCTGACCAATGCTCTGTACAAGTTTTTCAAGGCCCATGCCCACAACTGTTTGCTTATAAATTGATCATGAGGGGATGACAGCACCAGTGGTTTGATGATTTGCTAAGTTCTTACTGACCCTGGTGTGGTGAAACTCTTCAAGCTGTTTCTGGCAGTTCTCCAGGTCCTGGATGAGAGAGTTCTGGACAAAAAAAGTAATGAAACCATGTGAAAACAAGTAAAATATTATCTTCATCTTAATCATTTGTTATGGTAACAACATTATGAGCTGCTTCTGCTTAGATGACTGTGTGTGTGTGTGTACGCAGGTCTTGCCTTGTCCTCCAGGGCAGCCATGCGCTCTTTCAGATGGAGCTGCAGTCTTTCATTGGACTCAGTGAGCAGACGATCCACAGTGTCAGATAAACGCTTGTTGTGCTCCTCATTCATTTTTTCCCTCTGACGAGCCTGGAGATGATCATAGAGAGAGAGAAAACAAGACAGGGTGGAAAGTCATCATCACATTTTTCTTTGACACAGACTCCATTTAGGTGTATTTATGCAGCTAATCAAACATCTCTGCATGGATTAAAGGATGTAGTGTGCATTTAGCCCGAGATCACAAGCTGCCAGATCGGTTGTCTTGGCCAACAATGTATCTCACAGCCAGAGCGATTTAATTACAGTCATTTACATGATGATAAAAAAAAGGGTTCAATGCCTTTTCTTAAACGGCTCAATATGCATTCTACAGTAATTACATTAAAATGAATTAACACAGACACAAACAAACACACATCTGCATCAGCTCCTACGTCTAAATATAGTCATGAGATTGCATGGAGAGAAAGAGGAATTTGCCTTGCGTGAATTATTCAGAGTCTAAAGATAGCGGCCAATCAGTCTTATGGGGGGGGGGTGGAGGCATGTGTGTATGTGTAAAGATTCGTGGGGATGGTTTAATTCATGCAACAATGCACCATGTCTGTCCTGTGTGCATGAAGTTTATGCATGAGGGAACACAGATCCAAGAGTCAAGGCATCCAACTAATGTGAGGCATCAGTACACACACACACACACACACA